ACCGCAGTCGCCTCTCTGGGCAGAAACCGTCGCGGGCCAACAGCTAGCGGGCGAACCAATTTTGCGCACCCTTGCGGAGAGCCCGTTCTGCCTTCTCAGAGAGCGGGCCCACTGGGACGCCGGTGATTGTCTTCCCTAGCTTCCGCCATGCTGATTTGGCGGTCGGCGGCAGCGTCGGCGAGCCTTTGGGAAACGGTAGGAGCGTGGGATGCGCACCACCCGTGCCAGCAGGCCAACCTGTTGGGGAAGGCTGTGCACCGCCTTGCCAGAAAAGGTCGTCCCATAACAAATTCCACGCGATGCCCCCGGCGCGGCGCTCCCCCTCCCACGCGCGCATACGAAGCATGACCGCTTTGCACGATACGACAGCCGGGCGAAGCCGGCGCGCAAGCCCGAACTCTGGTCCGTGGTGGAGGTCGGCAGGTCTGCACCATTCGCCCGGCCCAGGCGCAACTCGCCGCGCTGCTCTGGATTCAATCGCAGCCACGTCGTCGGGAGGCCGCTCTAACTGGGCGACGTACAGGAGCACAGGTAGAACGTAAATGTTGTACGTCTGCAGCGCGGGGTGGAGGCCCATCTCAGACCAGGGCCAAGTCGAGGAGACGAGCCTCGTATTTTGCCATGGGCTTGCGCCATGATCGGATGCCCTTGCTGGGGCCGACGTAGAAGCCGAGGTGCTTGCTAGCGCAGCCCCAGTCAATGCGGGGCATGTCCGGGGTTGCCAAGCAAGCGGTCTTTGATGGCAGCGGGCTCTTCCTCCCAGAGCGGGATGGCCACCGTCTTTGCAAGGTTGAGCTGCAGTCCCGACACGGTCGCGAAGGCGGCAAATGTTCTGAAGACCTTTTTCGCTTTTCGCCGCCAAGATCGAAGAATCATCGCCGTGTCGTCCGCGAAAGCTCTTGTAGTAGCCGTGGGGTGGCGGTGGGCCAGCGCGCGCAACAGCCCGTCTGACGCAAGAGCGAACAGAAGCGGAGATAACGGACAACCCTGTCGGATCCTGGCCGCGATTGGCATTCGTGGGCCCATCTGGCCGTGGCCGTGGCCGTGGCCGTGGCCGTGTACCGTGAGTATGCCCACGGTGCTGTGGTAGAGCGACTCCGACACTCCCATCGCAACTCCAGGCAATCGGGCTGCCGCAGCGGCGGCCATCGAAGATAGGCGGGAGACGCTGGGGAATTCAGCGGTGAAGTCGAAGAGAATGACCACTGCATCCTCTTCGGCTCAAGAAGCGCGCATTGCTTCGTGCTCGATTTCCACCACGTTGCGAAGCATCGACCGCCCTGGAATAAAGCCGCGCTGGTTGGTGCTAACAGCCGGGGCGATGAGCGGTTCCCAGCGTAACTTGGAGGCGTTGGCAATGATACGGATGTCCGTATTCGTGATGGAAAGTTGTCGTGTTGATCCTGCCTTGTAGACACTGGCGCCGTCCTCACGGACGCGCGTTGGTTGTTTCGGCAGGCAGACCAGCAAAGACTCGTTGAAGGCGTCGTGATCCGAAGCCCCTGTCGTGAGGCCTCCTTCCAAAAACCGCCCAGCCTCCCAAAGTAAATGGACTTCGAGATTCCCCAGTCATCGCCACGCCCCGAATGGGACTCTGTATGGCCCGGGCCTCGAATTCCCAGCAATTCTCAGAGCCCGCGTGATATCCGCAGTTCGTAGTCTCCAAGAACGCTCGCTGCCCTCCACGCGGCCCGCCCCAGCATTCCTCGCAAATCGAAGCCACTCTTGGAGCTTGTCTGAATCGATGTCCTTGTTGCAGAAAACACGTTACCAATGCTCGCAAAGCAACTGCGCGATGTGCTCCGAATCGGTGAATACTGCCCCATCGTCGTTCTCCATGGCGTCCAGCCCGCTGCCCTGAAGGGATGTATCGAAGTGAGTGGCGGGGACGCATGCGGGCTGCGCCACTGGGACCTTCGATGGAGCTGCCTATCGGGCCACGCAACGTGTGTGAGCGCGCTGGAATGGGTGGCGGAGACGCCTGCGGGCTGCGCCACTGGGACCTTCGATGGAGCTCCCTACGGGGACCACGAAACGTGTGAAGGATGTGCCGAAGCTGATGGCGGTAATCGTGATGCTGATGGCGGCAATGGTGATGACACCAATGGTGATGATGACGACAATGATGACAGCGATGATGACAATACTGATGATGATGGTGATGGTGATGATGATAAAGATGATGATGCTGATGATGATGATGGTGATGATGGTGATGGTGATGATGCTGATGATGGTGTTGACGGTGATGATGGTGATGATGATTACGATGATGATGATAATGATGATGATGATGATGATGATGATGATGATGATGGTCATGATGATGGTGATGATGATGATGATGGTGATGATGATGATGATGATGATGATGATGATGGTGAACATGATGGTGACGGTGATAGTAATGGTGATGGCGATGGTGATGATGGTGATGGTGACGGTGATGGCGAGGGTGATGATGATGACGATGACGATACTGAATAATGACAATGATGGTAATGATGATGATAATGATAACGATGATGAAGAAAAAGATGATGATGAAGATTATGAAACAGCTGGTGGGAAGAAAAAGGAGGGGCAGCGGGAGGAGGAGGAGGACGCAGGACGCTGTCTCTTCAAAAAGGAGGACCCAACTCCATAGGATGGTTGGGCAGGAACCAAAAAGACCGGTACGCGGCGCTAGGCGCTAGGGCGAGAGCCACTGTGTGAAGCAAATGTGCGCGGCGCTGAGGCGAAAGCCACAATATTAATGAACCGCCCCCCAACCATGAAGCAACTGCAAGCTTTTAAGGCGAATGTGCACGGCGATACGGCGAGAGAGACACATGTTGAAAAGAAACCGCCCTCCATCCGCGAAGCGGTTGCAGACTTGTCAGACGAATGCGCGCGGCGCCAAAAGCGAGAACCGCATTCTGAAAATGAGCTGCCTTCCGTCCGTGAAGCGATTGCAAGCTGTGTAAGGCGAACGCGCGTGGCGCCAAAAGCGAGAACCACACTCTGAAGATGACCCGCCCTCCATCCGTGAAGCGGTTGCAAGCTTTGTAAGGCGAGCGTGCGCGGCGCCAGAGCGAGAACCCCACTCTGAAAAGGAGGAGGAGGGAGAGGAGGAGGAGGAGGAGGAGGAGGAGGAGGAGGGGGAGGAGGAGGAGGCGGAGGAGGCGGAGGAGGAGTGGGAGACGGAGGAGGAGGAGGAAGAGGAGGAGGACCCCCAATCCTCCAGCTGCGAGGAGGTCTCGAGCGGAACGCCCAGCCCGCCCTACGTGCACGTCTGGGGGCGCGATAGGGAGAACTCCTTCGCGAGGAAAAGGGATGGAGAAGGAGGAGAGGGAAGAGGGGGGGGGGAAGAGGAGGAGGGGGAGGGGGAGAAGAGAGACGGGAGGAGGAGGAGGAGGAGGAGGAGGAGGAGGAGGAGGAGGAGGAGGAAGAGGAGAAGGAAGAAACGGAGATGGATACTGGTCCCTCCTCCTCTTTCTCCTCTCCTCTCCCCTGGCCTCCACCTCCTTGCCCCCTCCCCCCCGATCCCCTCCCCTTCATTTCCTCCCCCGCCTCCACTCCTACTGGAGAAGATGTAGACGGAGAAGGAGATACATTGGGGAATGGAGAGGGAGGAGATACAGGAGAAGGGGGAGGACGAATACGTGCACGCGGGGGATGAAGGAGAGGGCGGCGGCGACGACGACGACGAAGACAACGACGACGATGGGAGTCTGCGCGTCAAGGGACACTGCACGTCGATGCGGCTCTGATGCGAGGGATGCGGCGGACGAGAACCAGGAGGAGCCCGATGGGCCGAGTGCGGGGCTTGGAGCTCGCTCAGATTTTGGCGTTGCAATTTTTCCGTAACGGGCGTTTTCGCCCTGTTTCGGGCCCCCGGACCCTCACAGATCGATCTGGCTAGAAAAATGCCGCGGAAAGATGGGTTCTAGGGCTCCGCTGATCGTCGCCGTCGCTGCCGGTCGACGGCGCCGGCGGGCGTCTGGCAAGCTCTGCGCCCCCACCTCCCCTGAACATCCCCACCCATCTTCACCATCTCCTCATCCTCATCCCTCCTCCTCCCTCCTCCTCCTCCTCCTCCTCCTCCTCCTCCTCCTCCTCCTCCTCCTCCTCCTCCTCCTCCTCCTCCTCTTCCTCCTCCTCGTCCTCCCCCTCCTCGCCTCCACTCCTGGCCCTTTGGGAGGGAGCGCGCACACACACACACACACACACACACACACATAGCGACATACAGAGGCACACAGGGAACGGCAGAGTTGGCGAAGCAGAGCGAGCGGTGCATGCCCACGAGTGTGCAGACACTCTCCCCTCCCCTGCCCCGTCCCTCGCGTGGGAGTCCACGCGTGGACGAGAGCTTCTCTCGCATAGGAGCGTGCGACAGCGTGCACACATAGCATGTAAGCCCTGACGACCACGAAGCTACGACAACCACACACAACACAGATGAATACACGCGTTCAAACACACACACACAAACACAAACACAAACACAAACACAAACACAAACACAAACACAAACACACACACACACACACAACACACAACGCACACATAACGCACACACACAAGCACGTCTCACGGGAATGGACGAGCTGGATACCAACATGAGAACATGATGAGAACGGATACGGGGAGGGAAACGGAGGGAAGGGGCACTACACAAGCATACAGAGACAGGAGCATAGAACAGAGATAGATGGTAAATAATGGTGCGCATATGAAGACTGAGGCGAACACGAGGGGAATGGGGAGAGGTGGGCGGTGAAAGGAAGGAGGAACAGAAAGTGGCATCTTTGCACTAGAAGGGATAAAGATGAAGAAATAATACTACAGGCGATGCGCTGCAATTCAGACGAACGACTCGTGGGGTCGACAGCGAATAGGCTCGTCAACGAAATCACCCAACGACAACTGTACACAGAATTCTCGATGCGCTGCTTGCGTCTCTGGTGAGCCCGCGTGCTGCATTCCAACGTCCCGTAGGAGAGAGCACGGCAAACCTTGCTGTGCAGCAGACTGGTGAAACGTCCGCGTCGGGTGCCCATTGAGCCCTTTTGTGCGCTGCGACGGGGCGCAGTATGACAGACACATTCATGAAGCAGTCATCCCATCTACGGGATTCTGTCTCGAGAACAACTCCAAGCATGCCATTCCTCCTCCATCCCCCCAACTGCTACTGATCCACAGCGCTGCACTTCTGGGAGCACTTCAGGCTGAGGCCCAAGAAACCCGAATACGCGTCGTGTCTAATCACTCGGTGTTGACAGTGCGTGCACGTATCTTTGCTCGAGCGTGGGCCTGAACCAACCGCTTTGCCACTGGACGCTCTGAAGTTCTCACTCGTCGCAGCCTTGATTGCAGAATTTGTACGATCGCCAGGGACGCCGACTGTGAGCGGCTGGTTCGAACACCTCCTCCTGCATCCAGGCGGTCGCCTGACAAAGCCAGTCTTCTGACAACTAATCCGAGGTGCGCATGGGCGACTCTGGAACACTTGTGGTGACGCCAGTGCTTGACGGACGAGGATCTGTACAAAACGCCTATTTCCGCCACCGGGGACGCCTGTCCCAGGGACAGGCGCCCCCGAGGGCGGCAAAGCTCATGCTGTGCAGCTTCTGCGCAGCCGGCACCTGTGCACCACCACCGTGGTTGGCCAGGGCCAGCCTGGGCCCTGGCACGGTGCATACGCCCGCCTGGCCGATGCGGGGAGGGCGTACACACCACGGTGTGGCCCAGGATGGCCCTGGCCAGGCGCGGCGGTGGTGCACAGATGCCGCCTGCGGAGCGTTCCGCCCGCTCACGGCAAGTTCGCGTCGTGTCGACCCTGGCGTGGGTTCCCGACGCCGCAGGGATCGTTCAAACTGGAACGATCGGCCGTTGCGTGAACGCCGGATCTGGATCGTTCAACGATGGGCCGATTCTGGGCCACGGGCGGCGCTCAACCTCAAACGCCGTGCGCTGGGGTCGCCGCCGGTCGGCAAGGCGCGAACCTGCCGTAGGTGCTCACCTTGATGGGCCTGTTTTCCACCACCACCACCATAAGTTGGAGGGGTAGGGGGTCCTCCACCTCCTCCTCCTCCTCCTCCTTATCCTCCTCATCCTCCTCCTCCTCTCCGTCCTCCTCCTCCTCGTCATCCTCCTTCCCCCCTCCAACTTATGGTGGCGGTGGTGGAAAACAGGCCCATCATGACCTACCCTTTGATCACTGCCAGCTCGGGCCGACGGTCCGCCGGCCCCAGCTCTACACCTGCCCGCTGGCGCCGGCGCTCCGCCGGCTTTCGCCGCGAGCGCGGCGAGGTCCGGGGCCGCTCCTGCGCGCCGCCCAGGCCTCCTCCCGAAGACGGGGCCAGAAAAAATCGAGGAGGAGGAGGAGAGGGAGGAGGAGGAGGAGGAGGAGGAGGAGGAGGAGGAGGAGGAGGAGGAGGAGGAGGAGGAGGAGGAGGAGGAGGGAGGGAGGAGGAGGGAGGGAGGAGGAGGGAGGAGGAGGAGGAGGAGGAGGAGGAAGAGAAGGCCCATCGCTCGAGGAAGCCCTTGCCGAGAATGGAGGAGAGCGCCAAGCTGGGCGCGGTGGCGTGCTCATCGGGGCGGGCGAGAAGGCGGGGGGGGGGCTGGGGGCAGCCAAGCGGTGGCCCAGCGAATCACCTGCACGCAGCTGGTTCGAAGGCGCCTCCCCGGTGCGGAGAGCGACTGTTCGTTGAGGAGTGCGCCCGGAGGCGGCGCCGAAAACGAATGCACGCAGCGCTGTTTCGTACCCGCACCCCCCTCCCCCGCTCCAAACCCCTTCCCGCCCCCCCCCCCCCCCTGCACCCTCCGTTCGTCCGGCTGGAGCATAGCGCATGCATCTGTACAGACAGATCCCAGCTGCGGGGCCTGTCTCTCTCTCTTCCCTCTCTGTTCAGACATGTCCAGACGCATAGTACATACAAGAACATACTAGAAGCCTAGCTCTAACATTTTTTATATATTCTCTCTCTCTATCTCTCATGATGTGTTTCCCTCTCTCTATAAATGTGGGACTGCACATATATGTCCATATATCTATATATAATTCCAGGGATACCCCTCCATGTGCGAATAAGCATGCCACTTACCCCTGCTCACTCCAGATGCAGACATACATAGATGCATGCAGGCATGCATACATACATGCATACATACATGCATCCATACATACATACAAACAAACAAGCAACCATACATATACACATACAAACATACATACACACCGACCTACCTACCTACCGACCGACCTACCTACATGCATACAAACATACAGACTGACAGACAGACAGACATGCGTGCACACTTACATATCTACAGGCATGCATACGTCAATGCATACAGACATACACACATGTATACATATACATACATATATGTATACAAATCTGTATAAGCACATAGACGGACACGTGAAAGCGTGCAGACATGAAGACACGCATGTGTAAGGATGTCGAACTACGCATCTAAACACTCCCGCCTCGATGTACCAAGTCCATGTAATTGATGTGGCGGGTATACAGGACAATGTATGTGTATCAGTATATGTATGTACACACATATAGATATGTATGTATGGAAACGCGCTCATCTGCTTGTTCTCCGCGACACCGTACAGATTATGCCTCTCGCGGGGAGGAGGAGTAGGACGAGGAGGAAACCCATAGCCACAAGACGCCCAGCAGGAGGTGGAGCGAGGGAGAGAGGAAGTGGAGGAAAATGATGGCCAGGACGAGGAGGAGACAGAGGGAGTGGGAATGGGAATGGCCTCGAGCAAGAGTCCAAGCACGGACCCCTGCTGCACAGAGACGAGGGTCAGGGGCCAACCACTGGCTTAGCAGTCGGCCCGAGGCCCAGTGAGCCCACCCTTCCTGGGGTCCAGCCCACGGCCCACACGAGGCCCTCCGACCATGCAGGCCAGGCGCTTGGGCCTGGCTCAATTCCGCCACGGGCGTCTCACCCCGCGCCGCCCGCAGCAACCTCTGGACAATGCGGGCTCGCCTTTCATCGTCGGACTCAGGCTTCAGCGCCGAGGTGCTCCCCCCACCCCATCCGACGACGACCTCACGACCCCGCCCCCGTCCCCCCCACACGGCCTCGCCTCCTCCCCTAAGGATCCAAATCCTAAGCTTTTTTGATATCTCACCTTTTTTGATATATCCCAAGAAATGTGCGATATATTAAACTCTGTGCGATATCTCAAACTTTTTGATATCTCAAAAAGTTTGAGATTTGTATATATGTATACATATGTGTATACTCATACGTGTATACACATATGTGTATGTATGTGTGTTACGTACGTATATATGCGCATATGTATGTTTGCGCATGTGTAAGCACATATTCATACACTTATACACATGTACACATGCATATAACATTCATGTATCGTCTGTGCTCACACGTGTATATACACACATATATATACATATATATATATATATATGCATGTGTATATATATGTATATATGTATATATACATATATGTGTGTGTGTGAAAAAACGTACATACATTTAAATACATTGACCACGCGAATATACATATACACGTATGTGTGTATATATATAAATGTATAGACATGCATACATACGCGCATACAAGACTATATACTGGGCCCTGCAGCTGTCCACCGACAGGTGTCCCCAATGGGCCTGGCGCGGATTCGCCGCCAGGCGTCCTCCGATATGTCTTGCGAGCACAATTTTTTTCACAGAAGACACCATCAACGTGATAACACGATGCTCAAAATGCGCATGTAATTCTCAACGATCTTATGTGGAATCAACGACTGCGTCGTGCCCACCAGGCACGCTTCTGCAACGTCCCGCAAGAGGCCAACAAAATTCTCAAACGAATAACACCACGACACTTTGGGGTTCTGCCACCGAGCATGCCTCACAAGATGATAAAGCCAGTGGAATTTGTAAGTCACATTGTAGTGGCCGCGCCCCGCGGCCAGGGAAACTTGCGCAAGCATATTATAGAGGAGTAAGAACTTGTCCCCAAGCAAAACAATACGATCAGCCTTGTCATGATCCAAAAACATGCCACCTGAATCGATGATTTCGTACACGTCTGCCAATGTTTCATATGCGAGAAGACGTGCGCGGGCGTGCTCTGAATCCAACGGTAAAGTTTTGAGCACGACAACCATAGCAGGTACCAAATGCCTTGACACGTTGGCCTTCGCGGAGAGTACACCAAAGCATTCACCGCCAATCATGCTTGGCGTGAGGTGTGGCAGCCTACTTTTGGATCCTAATGTTTTGTATGCGTCTTGAATCAGTGCCCACAAAGATTTCCAGCGGAAATTCTCGTTGCCAGGAAATGGGCCGTCAGGCCTTGTTAAATCTTTGATGCAACCGCCATGCATATACAGATCTATTCCCAAATGGTTAGTATGCATCCAATCACCAAGATAATGAAACCGAGTTACTCCAGGAATCGTCCATATTGGGTGGGCGGGCGATGGGGGGGAATCGCCATGTGTATATATGTGGGGGATCCACGGGGCGTGTGCCGACACATCTTTGTAACTCATAGCGCCATTGTCTGCGGGACACCAGTGACATTTTTGATGCGCACTATAATGCTGCACTTTGCATTCGTTGCAGGCGTACTCGGCGTCCATAGGTAATTGCCACACAACGCCGAAAAACTCATTGTTAGCGATAGCCTTGCCTCGGAACAGTGTAAGCAGAAGAAACCTCACTCATCCTCCCCCTCTCCTTCCTCCTTCCTCCTCCAGTAGCCCTCCTCGTTCTCCGCCTTCCTTATCGTCCTCCTCGTCGTGTTCATCGTTTTCATTCCTTCTTCCTCCCTCATTCCTCCCTCCGCCCCCCCATCCCCCCATTTCGGGGGCCAAGGGGGCAGAGAGGTTGGGATGGGCGTTTCTTCTGCCTAGCCTGCTCTCTCTGCTTCCATCGAACTGTCGGGCCAACATTCCCCAAACGGGTCCAATGCTGGATGTACACCATCGAATAACCCAGTAAATCCATGTCTCAAGTACGCCCATATTTTTTGCCATGCGTCTGCACCACCATGTAAATTCTCATAGCACCGAGCCCCCTTTGGGAAACATGCAGATAGAAAAATGTTGCCCCAACCCCACTGGTGGGGGTCCGTGACAAATGACCATTGTACAGAAACGATATTACTGGAATGCCTGCCAAACCTCACCCCGTCA